TTTTTGAGATAGAGTCTCACTATGTTGCCTTTAGTAGAGTGCTGTGGTGTCACAGCTCACAGCAACCTCAAACTCCTGGACTTAAGTGATTCTCTGGCCTCAGCCTCCCAAGGAGTTGGGACTACAGGAGCCCACCACAATGCCTGGTTGGTTTTTGTTGCAGTTGTTGTTTAGCTGGCCCAGGCCGTGTTCATACCCACCAGCCCCGGTGTATGTGGCTGGTGCCAAGCTGAGAGACTTAATTCTTAATCCTCAACTATAAAAAGACATTTGAGGGGACAGTTGGGGACTGACTTTTATATGACACTGAGGCATTATTTTTAATGTTAGTATGATAATGGTGGTATGATTATATAAAGAATTATTATTTAGAAATGGATAATAAGGTTTTTATAGGTCAAATGTCATAATTTCTTAGACTTGCTTTAAAATGCTTCAGCAAAGAAAGTTTAATTCGGCGACACCTGTGGCTCAAAGGAGTAGGGCACCGGCCCCATATGCCGGAGGTGGTGGGTTCAAACCCAGCCTCTGCCTTTTAAAAACTACAAAAAAAAAGTTTAAACTACTATGATGAAATTTGGTAATTATAAAATATAGATAATGGGCATACATGGGAATCATTATGTTCTTTCTTCTTTTGCATATGTCTGAAATTTTCTTATTTTTCATAACTAAAAAAACCAACAAAGCGAATGACAAAGGGTTTATCGTGAACTCTTGGTAGAGGTTATACAGGGTGGCCATAAAGTTCATGTGCAGTTTAAAATAGTGTACAGTTTAGAATTGCACGTGAACTTTGTGGCCACCCTGTATAAGAAAGAAAATATGATTATAAGTATTACTTATTTCAGCAGTAAATAAATATTTACATAGACCTAATAATGTAAAATGTTGACTTCAAAATTGAGAGGAAGGGTAAGGAGGGAGAAGTTACAGGAGGAGGAGGATTTAAGAAACCTAAACTTTTTTTTTTTCCTTGAGACAGAGTCTCACTCTGTCACCCTCAGTAGAGTGCCATGGCATCATGGCTCACAGCAACTTCAAACTCTTGGGCTTCGGAGATCCCCTTGCCTCAGCCTCCTGAGTAGCTGGGGCTACAGGCGCCTGCCACCATGCCCAGCTAGTTTTTCTATTTTTAGCCCACCAAGAAACCCAGACTTTCACCTACCATAATACAAAGTCAATAAAAAAATCATAAGCAAGAAAAGGCATATAAGCATATTACAGTTCCAGGAAAGACAGCTTAAAGAATTAAAAACGTTTCCTTCTAGGCAGCAGGATGGGAGAGAAAGAAGAGACAAAGCAAGGAATTACTGTTTTTCATTATCCCGTAGAAGGGTAGGGAAACAGAAACACATAATCGTACTCCCTAGAGAATTCCCTTTGAGTACTACAGAGCTTTTAAATTATGTATGTTAATTTTATTTATTTATTTATTTATTTATTTTTTTGGATACGAGTCTCACTATGGGGGCATCACAGCTCACAGCAACCTCAAACTCTTGGGCTTAAGTGATTCTCTTGCCTCAACCTCCCAGTAACTGGGACTACAGGTGCCCACCACAACGCCCCA